TTATATTTTTAATACTTATAGTGTTACTTGTTTTGAATAGTTAAGCAAAATTATTTTTTCAAAATGGAAATAGCCTTTTTTCCTTCATAATGTAGTCTTTTTTCCCCCAGATTGTAAGTGAAGTCTCATTGTAACTTTGAACAATACAGAAAATTATAAAGAAAAATATTAATTACATTTAAAAATTAATCACATTAACCTCACTACCTGTTGATCACTGTCAACATTTAACATCTAGCATATATGTGTATATATGTTTTACAAGAATAGGATTATATTATGTAGTTTAATTTGTTTTTGTTTTCCACTTAATATAATAATTATATCTTTGTACATCAGTAAATATAGGAGTGTATCATCTATTCAGTGGTCTCATTTTATAGCTAGTCCCCTTTGATGGATACTGAAATTGTACATTCATCCCACATTATATGTAATTGTAAAAGATTTCAAACTTTCAAACCTTTTAGCAAAATGTTTGTAACAAATGGGCAGACTATAATCCATACAATAAGCAACTGTTTGTTACATTTTTTAATTCAGCCCTTAAATGTCTGGCTCATATAAACCAGTTAAAGTTTATAAAGCAACTGATACTGTATATCAATTTTACTAACAAATAAAGATTTTAACACTTTTTAACAGGAAATTTCACTGATTTTTCATAGCATATGTAATTTACATAACTTTTCCTTAAGATTATAAAGAAACTTCATCATGATTACATGTGTCAGTGGTATATACAGATTTAAGTGGAATTCAGCAAGTAGGCCACTGATGGAATTTTGCTTCAGTTTTACCAATTTTGTTGCCTATTAAATGACACTGAGCAACATTGCTGAAAGATCAGACACATGAGTAGTGGGATATGTCTGCTCCAGTTGACAGCTAGGGCGTTGTATGTGGTGTGTGTGTATCTTGATACTCTTTCGATAAGATCATGTTCCTTAATGTGCATGCTGTCTCTAAAATAATCTAGAAGTCTCGTGTCTAGCTCTTTTTAAACCATCTTGCTTATTTGCCTCTCATCAGTGTTTCTTTTCTCCCCCTTTCTCAAGCTGACTGAATCTTCTGATGAGGTAACAAAATAGCCTTTGTCGCTCATAGTACCTTGTTCCCTCCCATTCCTCTAACCTCATAAGGTCATTAAGACTAACCACCTCTGGAACAGCTGAATGTGGCGTGCCTTTCTTGCTGGTGTTTAGTGTAGCATGATTTCATATTTCCATTGCCAAAATAATTATTTTTTCTAAATTGATGGTATTTGTAAAAGAAATATAGTGATCAGAGTTAAAACAAAGGCTCTATTTCAGTGTGTATTTCATGTAATGAGAAAATACGTATCTTTAATATTGAGAACTTAACTTTTGTGGCAATTGCTACATTACATGGACTGATCTCTGTCACTTTTTTGTCACATTAGTTGCCCCGCAAAGACAACCAGTGTCCCAGTTTTAATTTGGCAAATAAACTTTTAAAAGAGTTGAAAAAATAGAGATTAAAAAAATCAGCTTTCCAGACTCTAGAGAGAAACAGCTCCTTATTGGACTGAGGACATTAGACTAGAACTTGGGTCATTGCTAGAAGCAACACGGGGAAATCAGTACAGCTCCATTTTCCCTCCTTTTTAAATGTCTGAAAGTGATCTTCACTTCAGAGCAGATTGCCTGGCAGTCATTATCCCTTCTGTCTCTATCAGCCAATTTATTTGTAATCTCTGGCTGCTGGTGTAATGTTTCAAGCTTCTTGCATCATCTGTATTGTGTTTTTTGAGTAATCATAACATAGTTGACTGCATTACTGAGTATAGTAGAACATTTTAATGTATTTTTCGTGTTTATTCATCTTTTCTTCAAAGTGACCTAAGCTTAGCTTTTGACTTGCTCTTGAATTTAGCATTTGATTCTATTCAAGGCTGCAGCCATGGCTCCACCAGAGGAGGAGCTGAAGAGAGTGGGCTTCCCAGAGGAGAGAAGGCAGAACTCTGTGTCCGACTTCCCACCACCTGCTGGCCGGGAACTGATTTTGCGCACCTCTGTGCCACGGCCTGCCCCGTATTCCCGAGCTCTGCCACAGCGCATGTACAGTGTTCTCACCAAAGAGGAGTTCAGACTTGCAGGTGCCTTTTCATCGGATACCTCCTTCTTCTAATTCTTCTAGAGTTGCCTCATTTGTGGCTTCAGAGACAGTGCTGACCCCTTCTGTGCGAGGGAGGCTGTGCCAGTCAGAACCTGAAAGGCCGTGCAGGAGGCCTGTCCAGTTGATGGTTCAGGAATCATACCAGCATTGGAAAGACTTGCCAGTGCCATGCTTGGGCTCTGCTCTATCTTGGTGGGGGCAGAGGGAATGGGCTTGAGCTCTTGAAAGCTTTCTTCCCCAAAGTGAGGGCCCTTGTTTGAGGGGGGCAGGGGATCAGAAAGCAACAGGAGCCCTATACTCAGTCTGGTGGGATTGTGTATTCTTTTCCATGACTGTCCCTAGGCTATGGCCTTGCATTTTTAGTCTATGTAAACATTATTAGTATCAAGTATGCAAAATAGAGTATCTGTTAACTCAGATATTTGGATATTTTGGTGGTAGCTCCTGTTACCCAGAATCTGTGTTTTTAAAATACTAAATGACATTCTGTTTATTCAATCACCTGGTGGCCATCTTTATTGCACTAATTAACTTTTGATGAGCATTTTGAATGTTCTAGGAGAAAACCTAGAATTTCATGTAGTTTTATGTGTTTCCATGTAACTGTGACCTAAATGTATTCCTTCTGTTAAAACTATATTAAATGTCACTGCAAACTGGTTTTCTATCTGTCTTGTAAAGTTTGTTTCTCTCACTTGTTTTGGTTTTGGTTGCCATGTAAGGTATCACCCTGCAAATTGCTTTTCCCTCCTCCTCTCGCCTACAGCATGCAGTCCTCTTTGTGTGGCTGTTGGCTGGATACTGTGTTTACTGAAGTAGGGATGAGCACATGTTGAAAATACAGCCTTGGTACACAGAGATTATGTTGCAGTTAGTATAATTTAGTATATGTGCTAATGTAATGAATAGAAGATTATTTCAGTGAACTATTTTGCTTTTGTATTCTAAAGTGAAAGTAATTGATGGGGATATGTATCACCCAGCATAAGAATGACAGCAACATATTTTTAGTTACGTGATAATCAAGAAGTCTCTGTTGCTATATGGCTTCTGTTCAGTAATCTTAAATCCATTTTTAGGCCTAAAATTCACACTTTAATCCAAAGTAACAAATGTGTAGACCTTGCCTATGTAACTTTAAAGAATTAATAGAGCTATGTAAACCCTGTATATTATTTTTGTAAAAAAAAGTGTTCATATATATATGTGTATATATATGTGCACACATATATGTGTATATGTACATACGAAGTAGGGGAGGCCCTGGCTGATTACCTCTCGGCCTTTACAGTGCGTTTCTCAGAGATGCTGGACTTGACTGCTGCTGGTAAGCCATCCACATGCGGGCCTGAGGACTGAGTGCTGTGCCAGCTAGAATCCTTTCAAGGACAGAGTTTGTCTGCTTTCTAATGAGGAAGTTAATAACAAACATTGTTCAAAGAGAGGTTGGATTTTAAAAAGGCATGAATCTAATAAAAAGGAAAGTGTTGCTCTCTCTAATTTTCTTTTCCTTTCTCCCTTCTGATGGGTATTCTGTTTATTTTATTTCAGTTTATGCTATCTTAGATATTCCTAAATATTTGCAGCCTTCTGAGTCTTGGAGGGGTTTTAAGACCACTCTTTGTGTCTCTTTTAAAATGGCAGTTACCCCATTTTACTTTTATTATAGTATGTAGTTTGTTATTTCACAGGTATTTTTATGTACCTACTTTGTATCAGGTACTGTCCTAGGCAATGAAGATAAAACAGAAACCACACCACACTTCTCTCCTTTCACTGACCTCCCCATTAGGTAGAAAAGGCTGATGTTTAATTACCATAAAACGGAGGGTACAGTCAACTTGACTGTGTGAACTGGAGGCTCAACATTTATCTCATAAACTCGTTCATTCACTTGTCAGCAATAGAGAGTGATGCCTGCAGTAATAGTGAGTGTAAGGTGTTATGGAGAGGCTCTTAACTCAGGCTTCAGGAGTCAGGAAGATGTTTGTAGAGGAGGTGATTTCTAGATTGAGACCAGAAGGTGAGTAGGAACTAACAGAGGTGGGAAAGCAGGGTAAGTTGCTTGCAAAGAAAAAACTGTAACAACTCCCCATCATTCCAGTATGCCTGCCCCTAATTTGTTTTGATTGTGTCACTGCTCCCATGAAGTAGAGTTTATCTTTCCGCACCTTCAGTCGGGGCTTAGCCATGCCTTTCTATGGACAGTGGAGGATTTGCAAGGAAGTTCGGCTTTTGTTTGGCTGGAGTGTGTCAAGAGAAGCAAGAAGGGAAGATGGAGAGGTAAACTGAAGGGAGATCACGAAGTTCTGTGTAAGCTACAGCCGAGGTTCAGACTAGGATCTTCAGAGCAGTGACGAGCTGTCAGTTTTAAGCAAGGGAGTGACATGGTGGGTTTTAAACCACACTGAGGCAGGGCAAATAGATTGGAGAGGCCAGGAAAGTATGTACATGTCCTAGATCTTGTACTAAATTGAAAATAGGAATTACATCATCAGTTTTTTTTAATCCTCCTCTGTCTTTGTTATGTACTGCAAAGAGCCTAAGGGGTATCTGTGGAACAAACATGAAATGTCCTTCCTGCAGGGCACTCCACACCTGTATCTTTCTATTCAAATTTTTCTTCAGGCTGGAATTTCCAATCATTAGTCCTGGAAATGTTTATTGAGTGCCAGCTGTGTTCTAGTTGTTGTTGTGGGAAGTGAGGGTACAGCATTGAATAGGACAGAAAAAAGCCCTCGTGGTGGTTACATTAAGGGCCCAAGTGTAAACAGGTCACCCAGGGGGAGGGGCGGAGCTTTTTTTAGACCCTGATAGGGGAAGGCCTGTGAGATGTGCTATCTGAGCAGAGACCTGAGTGGAGCGAGGGAGCCAGCCATGTGAGTGTCTGGGAGATGAGTCCAGGCAGGGAAAGCCCTGAGGTGGGAGTAACCAGGTATGTTGGAGGTGCAGAAAACAGGCCAGTGTGGTTGGAGTAAAGGAGTGTCCGGAGGAAGGCTGACAGGAGCAAGGAGGGGGGCCAGGTAACACAAGCAGCAGGACTTGGGTTTGCTTTATTCATTGAAAGGGGGAAGCCAGTGGGGAATTTTGAACAGGGAGTGTCATGATCTGATGCCACTGTGTGGAGAGCACAGTGCCAAGGCAGGTGGAGGCATTGAAGCTAGGCAGGAGAGGCGGTGGGTTGGACCAGAGTGGTAGCATGGAGGGGGTAAAAGATGACCAGATTCGGTACATATTTTGAAAGCAGAATGCACAGAATTTGCTGATGTAATTGATGACGGTTTGAGAAAGTCAGGATGACTTGAAGGTTTGGGGCCTAAGTAACTGAGTGAATAATGCTGTCATTTATTTACTGTGATAGGGAAGACCAAGGGAAGAGCATTTTGGGGGATGATGTGAGTCAAGATTTTAAGTTAGGATGTGTTAATTTGAGATAGCAGAACCTGCGGGAGCCAGGAAGGTCTCCACCTCCTGGTATTCACACCCTTGTGTAGTCCCCACCCCCACATCGTACCAGGGTTGGCCTCCGTGACCCACAGAGCACGGAGGAACTGTTGGGATGTCACTTCCAAGATTAGGTTATAAGAGACATTGCTACTTCTGCACTTGGCAGACACTGAATGAATGGGTGCTCGCAGGCCTCTTAGTGGCAAAAGAGTCCCCACTGTTGAGTTTGGATCTTTGAGTTTTTCGCTATTGGACACCACGGAACCAGAACACAGTCCCCCCATCTTCTCAGACCCCTCACTCTGGGAGAAGTCAAATGCCATGTCTTACACAACCCTAGGGAGAGGCCCACCCAGTGAGGAATTGAGGGTGCTTGCCAACAGCTGCATGAGGGAGCTTGGAAATGGATTCTCCCCAGCTTTGGGAGACTGCAACCTCCTGAGGGCCCTCAAGCCAGAATTACCAGCTAAGCCATTCCTGGGTGGCCAACCCGCAAACTGAGGGAGAACATGTTCTCCTAAGCTGCTACATTTAGGGGCAACTTGTTTCACAGCAGTAGATAACTAATACAATACCCCAGTGATGATGTAAGTTTGGAGTTGATTGGGAGATTTAGATACAGATTGTACTTATGCCGTGAGACAATATGGGACTCCTGAGGAGTGGACGATGGGAAGAGAAGGTCTGGGGACTGGAGCAGAGATCAGGAAGAGGAGGAGCGCTGCCAAAGGAGACGAAGGAGTGGCCACTGAGGGAGAAGGAAAGCCGCAAACATGATGTCCTAGAAGCCAAGAGAAAAGTATTCGAGGAAGGTGGGAGTTGATAACTGCATCAAGTGCCTCTGAGACATCAGGTGAGATGAGGACTAAGAACTGCCTGCTGCCTGCCCGTGAGTGCAGAGTAACACATGTATTCGAGGTAATACACTTCTTACTGGGAAAGAGCAGAAGTGACTGCCCAGAGGAAGATGGGCAGCCCCAGCCCCGGTGGGCGCGCTTCACACTTCTGGCCCAAGCCAGGTGGTTTTGGCGGCTCTGCAGTTCCTTGTCAGGCACTGGGGGACGGGGGCAGGAGGGTAGGGTATGGAAGGTGGCAAGAGCATGAAGCCACTGTCCATCTGCTTCAGGCCTCCTGCAACCCATTTCCATGCCCCATTCTTGCTGCCAGTTCTTTTCTTCTGGGCACACGGTAATGGCTAGGGCTTGGCGCTTGGCAGATGCCGAATGAATGGGTGCTCACAGGCCTCTTGATGGCAAAAGAGTCCCCACTGTTGAGATTGGATCTTCGAGTTTTTGGCTGTTGGACACCACAAAACCAGAACACTTCAGAATATTAGCTCTCAAAAGCTAGAGGATACTGCCAGCATTTCTCCAGCTCTGAGAAGTGGGACTGGCATTAACCTGGGCGTGGCTCGTTCTTGAAATACAAAATACAGCTAGTTGATATGAGCACGACTTCTTTGCCAGAAGTTTTCCGCTGGCAGCTCGTGGTGTCTGACAGGTGGTCGTGGATACATCTCCCCCACATGAACAGTCTCACCTACGGCAGGGAGCATTCCTGGGGTAAGTGATAGGCGCCCACTCGGCCCAGGGGGGACAGGGACGTGGTGCACCCACTGACCAGGTCCCAGGCTGGCTCCTGTCATCCACTCCCTGAAGGCGACCTCGGGCAGCGCTTGGCAGAGGTCCTGATGCTCACTGAGAGCACATTTACACTCCTGCTTTTCAGGTGTGAAGGCGCCTCTCTGGGGAAAGAACTATGTTTCTTTCCTATCAGGTTGAAAAACATTTGCTTTTTGAAGTTTGCAGGTTTGTCGTCATCTTTGTCCCAGAGCAAGTGGCAAATGGCCTGTGAGGGAGACATGCAGGCTGGGGGACGTGCTAGTTGGGTTCAAAGCTGGTGAGTTGATTGTCTTCAGGACTCAGACCTGGGATAAAAAGTTCTTTCCAGAAGAGGAAAGAAAAGAATGGGACAATTTAGTTTCCTAAGACTGCTGTGACCAAGTATCACAAACAGGCTGCCTTAAAATGGCAGAAATTTGTTGTTTCACAGTTCTGAAGGCTGTAAGTCAAAAACCAGAGTATTGCCAGGCCGAGGCTCCCTCACAAACCCACAGGGCAGAATCCCATCAGGTCTCCCCACCTTCTGGGGTTGTTGGCAGCCCATGGCATTCCCTGGCTTGCAGCTGCTGCAGAGCCTCCACCTCTGACTCCGCCACACCACGGCCGCCTCCCTGTGCCGCAGGGTGCTTCCCTCCTCATGACACCTGCCGCCCGACTCCAGGAGAGCTTGTCTGAACCGATCACATACATCTTCAAGACCTTGTTTCCAGACAAGGAGACCTTGTGAGGCATGGGGGGTTAGGACTTCAACATAACTTTCTTTTTTGGAAGGTGGTGGAGGATCACAGTTCAATCCCCCCATAAGTGTCATTAAGAAGCCATCCAGACGGACCGATGCCCATCTCTCTGGTGTCAGGCCGTGGCCCCTGGTGTATAAAAGCATAGGCCTAGCACCAGAGAGATCAGTTTCAAACCCTAGCCTTCTTTGTCAGCCATGAGACATGGGCTGGTACCTAACCTCTTCCTCTGCCAAAATGGGGACAAAAATTATTAACAAGAGGTCGTTGGGAGAATCAAATGAGATGATATCTGAAAAGTGCCCAGCGTGGTACACATACTTGGTTGTTTAATAAATGAACTGTTACGTGGCACAGTTGTGGATGGATGAATGGTCAGGCGCTGGAGTGTGAGGACACATCCAACCAGCGGTGTTCGTGGAGATGACTGCCCAAGGAGCACTGTAACAAGGAGAGTGCCTTCAGAATCTCCTCCCATCTCATCCAGTGAACTCTTTTCTTTTGGTCCCTTTTCCTTTCCTGGGTCACAGGCTCCATAGAGGAAGTTACATTTAAAGGCTGAGTAGAACTTGTGGCAAAGGGCTGCGGTGGGAAGGTGGGAAGGGTCCTGGTGCATCCCGGGCTGAGGCCCACAGAGGCCTCACTCCGTGTCAGCGTGGCCAGAGCAGTGGGGCGGAGAAGCAAGGGGCTGAGCAAGCAGTGGCCAGCTCACCAGCGTCCCTTGCCCTGTGGAGGCATTTGGACCTTCCTGGGTGAAAGCAGAGAAGCTCTGGAAGGTTTCTTAGAGGAAGAGAGGAGCAAGCCTGGCCTCAGACGGCTTAGGAACTTATGTAACCACTCAGTGACTCGTGAGCCATGCAGTGGCCTTGACCTACAGTGATGGAAATGGGGTGAGAAGTTTAGGGAATGACACTGGCAGGACTTGAAGCATGGGAGGTGGGTAGGGAGGGCCGGGGTGAGTCCTGGACGCCCAGCTTTGCCCTGAGGGGGCAAGCACCTGGCACCCCAGCTCAGACATCTGCGAGCATGGCAGCCCCTGCAAGAGTGCTGCTCTGCCTGCACAACTTACTGCCCCCTTACTGCTGCATGACCTGCACTGGGTGATGCGCGAGGAGGCGCCCGCTGCCCGCAGCACCCAGGGGACCCTCTCCCGGTTCACTGCGGGGAAGGAAGTGAGAGTTGCTGCTACTTACCTGTCTTTAAACGGTGTCTTCTATGCACACATTCGCTTACGTTGGACATTGGCCAGAAGGGTGACACTGGCGCCCTCCCGGTCAGTCGGACCTGACTAATAAGTTGATGGGACCGGATCAAAACTTAAGTTCTTCAGCCACTTGACAGTTTGAGTAAATAATGACTTGTCAGTGCTATTTCTTCACATTCCTCTTTCTCGGCTCTATTTTTGGCCCAGAACACTCTTTATTTTTGTCTTCGTTACATAACACGGAACTGCATTCTTAGTAACCCACTGTCATTCCTGTGTTATCTTGCCTACGTGAAAAAAGGAAATATTTTTTGGGTGTGAATCTCCCAAACGTTCTCAGCTATTCTGGGACTGAGGGCATAATGCCATGGATGGAGGATGGCAGTGGGGAGGTGCCCCAGCTCTTTCCTGGCTAAGGCTGAACCTGATCCTGGGGAGCTGGGCTGGAACCCTCTGGTGTGACCCCCGTAGCCTGACCAAGTGGCAGGAGGCTCCCCTCTGCACAGCGTTTTGATTTACAGCAGGTGATTCACTAACCTAGACATACTCTTAATTGCTATTCTTCATTCCTGTCGTTTTGGATATTGAGCACCCTGGGGGGATGGAACTGCCCAGTGACCCTCCATCCTTCAGCACTCCCATGTGACTGGCTGAGTGCCCTGCAGGGGTCACACCAGGAGAGCAAAAGCTCTCGAGTAAGTTTGAAAGGCTGCCTTGGCTGGCTGGCCGTCAGGAGGCTGGGAGCGCCACTGGACATGGTGTGAGGAGAAGGCAGGTTGCCTGAAATGGTGTGTATGGAGTAACGCAGTCCTGACAGGAGGGGTGTCTTTGCTGAGCTGTGGGAGGTCTATAAAAATAAATCTGTCCAAAGAGCCCGGGGTTTAGGTCTTAACATCTGGCTGGAGAGCCAGACATGTTTCCTTTG